ACCAGTCTACATTGCCACCAACAGTGGATGGAGAAGTGTTCCTTTTTCCACAGTCCCTCCAGCATTTGTTACTGACTTCTTGATGATAGCCATTCTCTCTGGAGTAAGATGAACTCGTACTGTTTTAATTTGTATCTCTAGAATGACTAGTGAGGTTGAACATTTTTTCATATATTTATTTGCCACTTGTATTTTTCATCTGAGAAATGTGTATTCATCTCACATGTACCAAACAATTAACCCATAACTGTAATTTTATATTAATGTTAATTCAGGTATCAAAACACAGTTGGTTTAATTAACATTTGCAGATGAATAACACAATCTTAATATTTAACCAAATACAAGCAGATTCCACATATATAAAATATTTTAAACAAAAAATAACTAGCTGTTTACTACAGTGTGAGTGCAGAAATATGATGGATGTGAAATATGGCCTGCTTGTCCAACACCGTCCTGCACATCAGGAGTACAGCTTCCATGTCTCCTCCTTTTGTACATTTTTTGTACATTTTCTTTTTCTGCATTTTTTGTACAGTCTTCCCCACCCCGCCCCGCCAGTGACTAAGCATACACAAAACATTCCATCCTACAACAAACCAATGTCCTTCTTGTAGGAATCATTTAGTATAGTGCTAAAGAGTAGTGGTTCTGGAGACACTGGTTTGGATTTGAGTTTGAATCTTGAGTTTTAAAAACTGTGTGACCCTGGAAAAATAATTTTAACATTCCTGTGTCTCAGATTCCTCATTAGTAAAATAGGCATTTTGAGAATAGCTAGCTCAAAGTGTTTTAGGAGAGAATTAGACAACGTGGGAAATACATAAAACATTATCCAGCATATGGTACAAATACCTGAATGTTGAAATAAAAATACTTATCACAGTTAAAGATACATTGTCTTCAATCTCCCTCAAAATACTCCCTCTCACTTTAAACACATTCACCCCATTGTTCCAACCATTTTCTAAAGCAGTTTTAAAAATCCTCTTTGCGCATGTCTTTACGAGATGTGATATAAATATGGTGAGTGCCATGCAGTATAAAGTCAGGTTCATAAAAACATTGTGGTGCGCCCTCACTCACTTTATTCACTGGACCTGGTACCATGTGACTTCTGGCTCTTTCCCAAAGTCAAAATGGCCATGAAAGGTAAATGTCTTGAATCAGTTCAGGACATGGAGGCAGCCACTATCATGCATCTAAACACACTCACAAGGAGGACTTCCAGAACTGCTTCAGAGAGTGGCAAGAACGATGGAATAAGTTTGTTCAAAGTGAAGCGGAGTATTTTGAAGGGAGATTAAGGACAATACATCTTTTACTCAATAACGTTCCTAAACATTCACTATAGATTTTGATCATACCTTATAAATAACCACTAATTATTGGCTCCCATGATCATATATTACATTTCATGCAGCCATTTTTGTAAACATCTTCCTGATAGTTTAATTCCACTGATTTTCCAAATGTTCAACTCAAGCACCAAAGGCAAAGTATCTTGAAGTTCAGCTGAAGTTCAGTACAGAGATCAGATTCCCTAAATGAGATTCTTCCAGGAGGAGGCCACTCACCTCACCTCCTTCAGAGCCTGCCAGACACCCCAAGGCCTTAGGGCCTTAGTCCTAGCTCACGGCTTTGACACAGAAGTTCCCAAAGACCATACTTAGTGGGATCACCTGAGGCTCTTCATATTTTGATTTTACCTATTTAATAAGTAGCAAATTAGGGTTCAAGTTATAACTCCAGGGAATTAAGGACATTGGTTCCTCTGTCTCCTGAGCTGCCAGGCTCAGCTGGTTCATTAATGAGTGTCTAATCTATACATACCCTTCTGAAGGGTCATGTGTGAAAACCACTCACTTCACAGATTTTCCTCCAGCAGTATTCAAAATTGGAGAAGGAATTAAGTAGAAAGATTGCTATGTAACTGTGTATCACCACTGCAGAGAAGCTCCTTCCACCTCTTGTTGAGCATTTGAGGATCTTTCCATGTGACCAGTTGGAGAAACAGGTAGGACCAAGCCGGAGCTTGGATGAGGCATTCCTGAAACTGCTTCCATCAAGAGCTTGTAGTTCTCAGGTAATGTTTTCAACTCTCACTGTGACTTCCAATATGAGAAAAGAATTGTTCACCATTCTTGTAACTGAACTGCAAAAATACTGTTTCTCAGGAGCCTAGAGACTATTTTAGCCCAGATGAGATCCTACTGTGAAAAGACCAAAACACAGGGAATCTTCTGAGATATTAAAGCTCACAGTTCACTAATGTCTGCTATGATTGCTCTGAAGTCTCTTCCTCCCTCCCCTCCCTTCCTCTCCCCTCTATCTCTCCCTATTTCTCTCTTGTTTTCCTCCTCTCCTCTTTTCTCCTCTTCTTCTATCCTTGTTTTCCCATCTTCTCATTTAGTTTCTATCTGTGAGACACTGAGCTCCCTGACCTGGGAGTCAGACTTTTTATACAGTGAGGTCTTTGTGTTTTCTTACTCCGAGAAGCTATGTGGGAAGAGTTCTCTAGCCTCAAAGCACTGGGCTCAGGAGTTTCTTCCCTCTGGGTTCAAACTGGCCTAGGCTCTAGCAGTGCAATGAGATCCGAGAGGAGCAGGTAGGAGCATAAATATCAAGAGTGCTGGACAGAGTCCAGCAGAGTGAATAGTTCGCAGTACAGTGTACACCAGAGTAGAGTGGGAAATGCAGAGTGGGAAGGACAGAGTTAACACCAAGAAAGCTCTCTTTAGGGTGTCAGAGAACATATACTACAGACGTTCATTTTATTGTCACTACTAATTCTCCTTGATCCCAACAAATACTGATGGTATGAAACACACAGACAGGGGACAAGAATCTGAAAGATTATAGGGTGAATATCTGAATGCAAAACATTTTTGTTGAATTATCTCCTGCTTTCAACCCTTTTTCTGCAGCCCAAGTGTTATTAAGACCCCAGAGTCTTTATACTACTTTATGCTAGGTATCCAAACTTCCACCACACCCCAACCACCCCACCGCACCCCAGATGTCATTCTCATGGAAAGGCTGTGATAATGTCATACACCCAGACGCCTGAGCTCAAATCTCTTTGAGCTTAACACCATCTGTGACCTTGGAAAAGTCAGGTAACTTTCTATGTCTCAGTTTCTCATCTCTAAGAAAAATCTGTGTCAGGACTGTTTATAAATACATAAATACAATCACAACACAAACTGGCTCCTATCCCACTGTTGAGTCATGTGTACCCTCATCCCAAGTCTGAAGTATTTAGAATTTGTGGTTCTTAAGAAGCATCTCTTCAACATGCCCTGCCCACACTGGATGTTTTTAGGTACAGAAGAAGAAATACAGGTAGACAGTGTGGTCAGTTATGCTCTCCAAGTAAGTCTAGAATGACTGAAGCACTTATCGACCTAATTCATTCTAGAAAATTCAAATACTTAAAGAAATTTTCAAATTTGAAAGAGAATAATCAAAATTATTGTTATTTGATGTGACTGTTACTTAGCTAATGAGGATATTAAGGGAAACATTCACTGTGAGAGGACTTGACAGACTCAAAGATGAAAGTGACCAAGATGCCTCAAAAGAGATATTCTCCAGAAAGTGGCTCTCTGTTCGCTGAAGCAGAGCTAATTTCGGCCACTCTGGACTATAGATTAACCTACTAGATGAATTAACAGGTAACCTGGATTTGGCTTCTAAGTGAGGCTCATTATGAGAGTCCCAGTGAGTGCTTAGTACTATGGAGGAAAGATCTGGAAAGACAAGATCTGGAAAATAGGCTGATTTACCTCTTCGTGAGTCCTTGTGTCTGGCTCTTGGCATCAGGACAAAACTAAAAAATACAGGGAAAACTAAGAAACTAAAATCGTCTGGTCAGAAGACTGTGAGGTTACCAAGAGAGTATGAGCTTTCACAAAGACAAAACCTAGGTGAATGGTTCTAGATTAAGTTTCAAACTAGAGATAAAAGCCAGACATAGTGGCACACACTTGTAATTCTAGCACTTGGGAGGCTGAGGCAGGAGGATCATTGCACATTCCAAGACAACCAGGGCTACATAGTGAGTTTAAGTCCAGCCTGAACTACATAGTGAGATCCTGTCTCAAGAAACCAAAAAAACCCACCCCTCCCCCCCAAAAAACAAACGGACATAAAGGACAACTTCTAAAGAAAAAAATGATTACTAGAAAAGAATAACTAAAATTTAGGAGGAAAAAAGTACATACATACAAGGTGTGGCTGAGAAATTTAATGGATATTTATTTTTTTTCATTTATTACAATAAAAAATGCGTTGTCATTAACCCCCCTCTAAATACTCCTCTTTTTGCGAACACTTATTCCATCTTTTTTTGTCACCTTCTGAAGCAGTTCTGGAAGTTCTCTTTGTGAGTGTCTTTACTTGCACTGTGGTAGCTGCCTCCATGACCTGAACTGATTCAAAACATTTACCTTTCATGGTCATTTTGACTTTGAGAGTCAAAAGTTGCACAGCTGTGCTCACTTCAGCAGCACCTATACTGAGGAGTTGCATGGTGCAGATCTGGTGAATAAGATGGGGGGAGGCGCGCACCATAATGGCTTTATGAACCTGCCCTCCCATGGGAGGCCACTGAGCACAGCATTCATAGGGTTTTTAAGCAAACCTCATAAAGAGTTTTTATTTGATAGAAATTGCAGTGATCAGTTGATCAGTGCAGTATAATAAAACCTACTATAAATTTTTAATTTTTAAACTTATTACAATAAAAATCGTTGCCATTAATCCTCCCCTCTTCAGATGTACCTATTTCATTGTTCTTGACAATGTGTATATTACTGTAATAAAGATTTAAAAATTTAAACGTTCATTGTATGTTTTTCAATCACCCTTGTACATCAATGTGTCACATACATGGTAAAAAAGCCTGAGAAAATAGAATTAAGATGTGTTATGATACACGTACCAACTCCTCATGATGGCTGTGCTTATTATGTACTGAAAACATGTACTAATAAAATATTTCATCATTTAAAATTAATTTAAATACAAGACATTGGTGGTTTATGAAAAAGAAAGATAAAAGCTATAACTAAGCAGGTGCAAATCTTAGGGATGTTTCAAAATGGAAGAATAGATGAGGAACAGAGGAAAAAAACCCCAAATGTTGAGATGGCCCCACCAAGTCAAGCAAAATGTGCACACAATACAGCTAGCAAAGCGCTGTCCCATTGAAGATCAGATACATGATCACGGGAAAGGTCTGGGCAAATTAAGAAATTTCTTCAGCAGTCTTTCAGGTGGAGTCGTAGCCCTATGGAAATATTATTGTGAGGTTTTGAAGGCCTATGTTAAATAAAGCCAAATAGGAGTGTGTACATATAAATGGAAACCCTATCTCTACAATTGGGTATAGGGAAGAGAAGTTTCCATTCTAATTCTATATTTATTTCTAGAAAGCATCCTTTCTAAATGGCTATGAGGAATCACAGCACCATCATGGAGTTTATCCTTCTTGGGCTGTCTGCTGACCCCCACGTCCAGGCATTGTTGTTTATGCTGTTCCTGATGATTTACCTCCTGACCATGGTGGGGAACCTGATGCTGCTGCTGGGGATCAGGGCTGATTTCCACCTTCACACCCCCATGTACTTCCTCTTGAGTAATCTATCATTTGTGGATCTCTGCTTCTCTTCAGTCACTGTGCCCAAGATGCTAGAGAACCTCGTGTCTGAGGAGAAAACCATCTCAGTGGAAGGGTGCCTGATTCTGGTCCTCTTTGTGCTTATCACTGCAGGGACTGAAGCCTTTCTTCTTTCAATGATGGCGTATGACCGCTATGCTGCCATCTGCCATCCCTTGCTCTATGGCCAGTTAATGAGCGACCAAATGTGTTTGAGTCTGGCATCGGCTTCATGGGGCCTGGGTTTTCTGGATGCAGTCATCAACATTCTCCCCGCTGTAAATATGAACTTCTGTGAAGCACAGGCCATTCCACACTACAGCTGTGAGCTGCCCTCCCTCTTTCCTTTGTCCTGCTCCGAGGTCTCCACCAATGTAACTGTTCTGGTCTGCTCCACACTCCTGCATGGCTTTGGCACATTCTTCCTGATCCTCTTCTCCTATGTCCATATTGTCTCCACCATCTTGAGCATAAGGTCCACCACAGACAGAAGCAAGGCCTTCTCCACCTGCTCTTCCCACATCACTGCAGTGAGTTTTTTCTATGGTTCAGCTTTCCTCCGTTATCTCATTCCAAGCTCAGGTTCACCTCTGGAGTTGATCTTCTCCACCCAGTATGGTGTGATCACTCCCCTGGTGAATCCCCTCATTTATAGCCTAAAAAACAAAGAAGTAAAGGCATCTGTGAGAAGAACCTTGTGAAAATGTTTACAAGGACCTAGATAACAAGCTGTATTGGTTTGGGGCTTATTTTGCAAGGGGAACAACATAATACAGAACACATACTTTATATCATTATTTATAATAGTCACCCAAAGAACAGTATACAAAAGAGTGCAGGAAATCTGTCCACACACTAAGACCAA